CCCGGACCCCTACCACATCCTGGGCTTGACTCCACCGTAGCACGATATTGTCTGCTTTGGGCTTCGACCACACCCTCACGGTTTTATTTTTGGGAACTCACACAAGAACCCGACCAAAATCAAGGCGTGCTAGCCGTCACGCCTTAATTTCGGTCTGGGTGTGTCAGTGCAAGCATTATCGAACAACACAAAATAAAGAAACAAAAAAGCACTAATCGTATGTTGGAAATGGATCAAATGGATCCTCCCTCCTTTCTCAGCCTATTTTCAACCTTCGACTTCGAATCACTTGATTATCGCTGCATCGGGAGTTGGTTCTGGGTTATGGATTGTAGGTTGCAGGTCACGGATTAAGGGTTAAGGGTTTCATGATGGAACTAGGGTTTCATTGGCGGGGCTAGGGTTACCAGAAACTTCAACCTTCTCGATTTTGGGTTTGGGAATGGTGTGCTTGATGATAGTGGGGTTATGTTGGTTACTGGGATGGGAATAATGGGTTAAAGATTCAAGAATTTTTTTTTCATTTTAAAATTCCCATGTTGTTAGTCCACATGGCTCCACGTGGACTAAAAAATTCCATGTGTGCAAGTTTTCGAGGGAGTGGGCTAACGTGTAACGGGGTCCACTAATACCACGTCAGCATTTAACGGACCAATGGATGAAAAATGTAATGAAAGTATTATTTTGAAATAAAATAGTATGTGAGGTATGAAAGTGAAATGTTTTGAAGATGTTGTAAGAAATTGAAATAGACCCCAAACTTGAGGTATGAAAGTGTAATTTACCCTTAATTATTAAATGCTTTTTATTAATTTTTTAATTGGTTAAAGCATTGCCTTTTTGTTTTTGTTTTTTGTGTCAAATTGTTGATTATGTTAGACTAAATGTTAGGTTAGCCACCGTCAAGTTTTGAACTCACGACATAATGTAAGGGTTCAATACATTTTTACCACTGATGGTAAATGACCACTTGCTTGCCTTTTTGTTTATTTTCATTACCAATGCAATATTTAAATATCTTTATACCTTTTAATTCATTTTCTTTCATTCCCAATGCAAAGAAAATAAATATGAATTTTTATTTTATGTTTAAAATTTGACATACAGGATGGAAAGGAAAACTTTAAAAGATATCAAAGTGCCACGTAAGCCTTCAGATTTAAAGTTTAGGTTTAAAATTTGATATCTTCTTTGGCGATGGTCTAACACAAAGACTTCAAATCCAATCAGCAAATACCCCTTTACTTAGAAGAATTTTTATGGGTAAATTACACAAAACTATCTCAACTATTGGACCGATCACAGTTTCATACCCTATCTTTAAAACATTTCAATGTTATACCTTATCTTCGAATTTGTTGCAATGTCATACCTTTCGTCAATTTGTTTGTCAATTCTTCCGTTAAATGCTGATGTGACTTGAGGTGGGGCCCACTTCCTATTAAAAAATTAATTAAATATTAAAAACTAAAAAATAAAATTATTTAATAATTTTTTTAAATGGGGTACCCACCCTTACAACCCATCACCCCTTCTTCGGTTCTTCCCTATCCACCCATGTCCCCCCCCCCCAAACTTTCCTTCAGCACCAAAACCAGAACCTCACCACTGTCTTCTCTTCCTCCATCTCCACCTCTATCCCAAGGCGTTTCTCTCTCTCCATCTTTGCAAACCCAAATCAGATGTAGAGGCATTAGTCGCCAAGATCAAGTCATGCCCAACGTCAACGAAATCGAGCACAGACTGCACATCCAAAGCTCATCCAAAACCTTAAATCCCAACCAAATCAAATCACATTATAACGCAAATCAAGAAATTAAGCAAAATGTGGTGATTCTGATTTCTAATCAATGAACTTACGGTGGGCGGAGGGGAGAAGAGAACGAGGTCGTCATCTAAGTACTGGCCATAGTGCTAGAGCGATAGCTTGGAGTATTCGGCGAGCTTGAAGTCGAGATTGAAGTTGCAGGAGATGTGGGAATGGAAGAAGATGAAGTGAGAGAATTGGAGAAAGTGGTCGTCAAGGAGTACCAGAAGGCGGCGGTGGGTTGGGGATTCCGGAGAGAATAAAAAGCAGAGGAAGAAGATGAGTGTGAGGACGGTGACTAAGACGGAGAGGCTTGGCATTGTTGGTCTTCTTCTTTTAGGTGAGTTTATGGCGAACTCCAGCGACAAGGATCGTCTCCGCCACCACTGTTTCACTGCTCTCGGTGCCACAAATAGGACCCACCCATAGTTTATGCTACTTGCCTGCCGTTCATGGTGGATCGAACTGTGAAATTTCTGGGATTTTTTTTTTTGGTTGAAATTTCATGGCTGATCGAACTGTGAAATTTCTTGGATTTTAACGTGGGCAATCTCGTCCTTGAGGACAGTGAGGGTTCAACAATAAGGATTAGAGAGGAATGTGGTGGATGAGGAGGAGGGGGAAAGAAGGTTTAGGAAGGAGGTGGAGATGGAGGAAGAGAGGGCGGCGGTGGGGTTCTGGTTTTTGTGGTGAAGGAAGGTTAGGGGACACGGGTGGATGGAGAAGAACCGAAGAAGAAGTAATGGGTTTGTAGGGATGGGTCCCCCATTTAAAAAGTTATTAAATAATTTAATTTTTTAGTTTTTAATATTTATTTTTTTTATATTTATTTATTTTTTAATAGGGAGTGGGCCCTCGCCTCAAGCCACGTCAGCATTTAACGAAGGAATTAACAGAAAAACTGACGGAAGATATGACATTGCAACAAATTTGAAGATGAAGTATGACATTGAAATGTTTTAAAGATGGGGTATGAAACTGTGATTGGCCCAGTAGTTGAGGTAATTTTATGTAATTTACCCATTTTTTATATCAAAGCATAATCATTGAAGTGATCAGAATTAAATATTATATCTAATGTCAATAATAAAGCGATAAAAAGTTTGTGAACATAGAAATCAAATATTGCTGAAATACTTTAAAACTGATTTTTTTTCCTGCTGTTGGGGGTTTGAAAAATTTCCCTATGCATTAGACTATTTTCATTTAAAAAAAGGCTTTTATTACCTTGTTGGTTTACATGTTTAGCATAGGTATTAACAATAAATTTCCAAAATTGGTCTACCAAATAATGCATATACACTTGCCAAATTCACGAGAAAAGCTTGAAAACTGTAACTGCAGAACAACGTTCAGAAACGTCTATCCACTATTTCTAGGAAAACCGCTACTCTTCTAACCTTTTCGAAACATCTGCCCAGCTCACTGCTTCTAAGAAACCCACTACGCTTTTGGCCTTCTCGAATAATCCACACGCACACCGTTTATAGGAAAACCACTACCCCTTCTCGAAACATCCGTCCACCCATTGTTTATGAGAAACTCATATGCACACCGATCCCCGCCTTGTTGGTTATGCCAACGCAGGTTACTTATCTGACCCACACAAGTCATGTTCTTAAACAGGTTATGTCTTTACCGTTGGAAGCACCACAATATCTTGGAGGTTAACTAAACAGACCTTAGTTGCCACTTTGTCTAACCATGCTGAAATTCTCACCTTACATGAAGCAACTCGGGAATGCTTCTAGTTGAAAGAAGTTGTGGGACCATATTCAAAGCTCTTGTGATCTTTACTCCGTTGTTGACGTCTCCACGATGATCTATAAAGATAATGCAGCATGCATCGTATAGCACAAGAAGGGTTATATCAAAAGAGACAACACCAAGCACATTGCACCAAAGTTCTTCTTCTCACATTAACAGTAATAACATCAGAAGATCGAAGTCATGCAAATCCATTCACAAGACAATTTGGCCGCTTCTTCACCAAATCACTACGGCATGCGACATTTCAGAAGCTTGTTCAAGGAATATGTATTCGTAAACTTTCTGAGTTGTAACATTGTTAGTTCTCTTTGGAATTATGTCGAACTCAAGGAGAGTATCCTGAAGTATACTTGCTTTATCTTATTGTAATCTTTTTCCCTACGATTAGGAGCATTTTTCCCACTGGCTTTTTATTACCTAACGAGGTTTTGACGAGGCACCCACCTTGGGTTGATCATATCCCTGATGACGTCCTGTAGACGTTTCATTTAACTTTGTATTCTCTCACGTATTTTTCCTTAGACTATGAGTTTTTGTCCCTACTTGGGTTTTACCATAGCCATTGGGCTTTTTGTGTGACTTAGTTCCTTATGCAAGTTCCTACTTTACTTTGAGACTAGCGTGTTCCCAGAATCAATATCAATGAGTTGACTTTCTCAACTCTACATGATGCCGAATTTACTTAAGTATTTACACACTCAAGGGAGAGTGTTATAAACGTTGTATTTAAGTGTGATTATGTAAATCCTAGATTAGATTTTATACTAGTTATTCTTCCCTATTAGGACTTGTATTCCTTGGAGGAGAAGGGTTTTTCCCTTCCTTATTACTATAAATAAAGGTACTGCGTAGGGGGAATAACACATCCTCTACACAACCCTATAAACACATCTCTCTCCCTACTCTCTGTTTTGCGCCCCCTTTGTCCTCTGTCAGATAAAATAAGCCATAACATTTATTACATTGTTGGTTTACATGTTTAGCATAGGTATTAACAATAAATTTCCAAAATTGGTGAACCAAATTTTGTAGATACACTTGCCAAATTCACGAGAAAAGCTTGAAGATTGTAGCTGCAGAACCACGTTCAGAAACGTCTATCCACTATTTCTAGGAAAACCACTACTCTTCTAACCTTTTTGAAACGTCCGCCATGCTCACTGCTTCTAAGAAACCCACTACGTTTTTGGCCTTCTTGAAGAATCCACACGCACACCGTTTATAGGAAAACCACTACCCTTTCTCGAAACATCTATCCGCCCACTGTTTATGAGAAACCCACTACCCTTTTGGCCTTCTCAAATAGTCCGTCCGCCTACTGTTTCTAGGAAAGACACTACTTTTTTTGGCCTTCTTGAAGCATCCTTCCACTCTATAATTAGCCTAACATACTAAGGTGTTTATTGCACAATCAAAAGCTCCAGAGGAGAAGGAACCAATTAAGAGATGGTAAAAGTCGCATCACTAACCCTGGATGAAGGTGATGATGGAGACTTTAGTGAAGACCTAGCCGGCTCTCAATTGTTTCATCGTATCCATGATTTACCAGAGGTATATGTGATCCTTTTAGGATATTGGAAGTGAGTGGTTACTCTTAATTTTCACCTTCTATTATTAGAAATGGACCCAAAATTCCCTTGCGGTTCCAAGGGTTCTTCCTTCAAACCGAATGAAAAAAAAAATGAGAAACATCAATTTGACAATTTATAAAACATCTACTTAATTTTTTTTCTTTTTGTTTCATATGTTTTTCATTTTCAAAATTCATTTTGCAAAATATACTACCAAATAAAGTTTACACTGTTGTATCTCTGAAATTGAGAAACTAGTTCTTGAAAACGCAACCCCTTGTATTCCTGGCCTTCTCCTCCTGTATTTGAGTGGATCTTCCCATGCATTTTCTTGGAAGGTTTTTGTCTCCTCTAATTAACTAATTCGTGTAAAACAATGTTATTTTATGTATAAGCTTTATAGTCAGATTTTACATATGCTATATTTACGTAAGCTATTAGAGATATATATGAGAATTGTTATTAACATTTCAAATTTCTTATTCTACACTCCAAACTTTTTATATTTAGAAAGAAAAATACACTTTTGAGGAGTGTAGAATGAAATTTTTAGAGTGCCAATAACACTTCTTATATATATATCAAAGCATAATTGTTCTTTAGTACTTCCAAACAATCATCATGCATTTATTTTCTTTTATATTTCTATAAATAAAGAGTAGTGCACCATAACTATTTAAATAAAGCTTTGAAATTTGTTATATGAATCGATCACTTTTTGACATTCAATGTACTTTTCTCGAAAAAAATTAATTATACTTTGCCACTTAAGTTAGGTCTCGATAGAATCGTTGAAAGGGCAGAGATAGAGCTACTCACTATTGTCATCTTCAAACAATGCACAGCTTCAACCCGTTAAGTTAGTTCCTTGAAATAAGCTAGACATGTGTGTAATTAAATGCAAATATATAGACATGCAGTGCTTGGTATTCACTTTTTTAGGGTTTTTTTTTTTTTTTTTTTGAGGTTTTGTCATCATCATGATTCTAATCACTTTAGGCTTTGTGTTTTCTTCAGATCCGTTGAAGAAGTGTGTGCAGCTTCAGGTAGTAAGATTACAAAAACCGAGGCTTACTGCAAATCGATGCTAAAGCTGTGGGTTGATTTGAAGGTAATTAAATAAAATTTACTAAAGCAGATATGAGTTAGACTAGTTAATTTGGTCTCTCTTAGATTAGAGTATTTTAATTAGAAGTGAAATTTACCAAAGAGAAACGAATGGGGCTCTGTAAGTTGAACATAATTACAATGTTCTCATGTTAACTTAGCACAATGTTCCATTTTAATTTTTCTTATTATACTAAGTCTTCAACCTTTTGGCTAATTTTCAGATAGATAGCAATCCACGACTTGATTTAGATGATCATATGGATTTACCTCAACTCACTGTGCTGGCGCCCCCTCAAGACTCATCCACGCAAGCTGATCACCTCTCAAATTTCGGTTCACAAATGCATCTTGCAAGCAACACTGTTCAAAGAGCCAGTGACCTACTCATTTCAGTCTCACTAGTTGTTGAAATGAACAGAATCAAAACCATTGAGCTAGCTTCTCAAGCAATGGAAGAGCTGCGAAAACTGGCTTTGGCTGGAGAGCCTCTTTGGCAAATTGACATAGAAAACAACACAAAAATACTAAGTGAGATCGAGTATACGAGGAAATTTGAGGATATCAGTGCCACGTTGATGGAGATAGTGAGAATGGTTGAGGTCCGAAAGTCTCAATCTCTACCAAGTTTGGATACAATTCTTTTTTTTTTTTTTTAAAGAACATGGATACAATTCTCAATTCTCAATTCTCAGTCGCAATTTACCCCGTTAGGGCATTCAGAGTTTGCTCATACATGCTTCAGGTATTTAATTAATTTTAGTTAGCCCATGTGTTTAAATTAATATATATGAGACATAAAGTTATTTTTCTTTATTAGTTATGTGTTTATTATTTTGCAGGTTATTACCAAGGAGTAGAACCAATTTGTACCCTCCTTATTTTAGTGTCACAAACTTGACCTTAAAATGCAATGCGCACAACAACGTACGAACAAAATGTGATTGGAGAATCTGACGATCGAAACATGATGCCGCCACGCCACAACTTTTCCAGCTCAACTAAAGTTAGAAAGTGCTATGTCAGCATCTCAGTAAAAGTAATTCCAGCTCAGCTGAAGTTAAAAAGTCAGTAACTAAGTTAGGCTGGTTGTTACAGAGTGGTTAGTTTGTTAGTAGTATAATAACAAAAGAGCTGCAGTGTATGTAATCACTTCTGTTATTTCTCTCAGAAATAGAAAATATCTTCTTTCCTTCTCTTCGTTCTCACATTTCCTTTTCTCTCTCTCTAGTTCTTCATGAATTTACTTCAATTTCTTCATACGGTTATCAGTATAACTCATAATTAATCAGTCATTAGCTAGTCTTCTAATTAAATTACTCAAACACAAGTCAATACCTTGGAAACCAACCAAACTTTGAAAGAGGTTCGGATCAAAGGCTTCCAGGGTACAGTACTTGAGCTATGTGCTGGTCTATCTAGTCCACCGCGGTCGTATTCTGGAAAAGCTTACTGTGATTACTTCATGGGAAGTGAGCAAACCATGGAAACCAATAGGTATATGAAAGTATAGCTGAACAAGTATATAGATGCAGTCCCTGCCTCACAATATCTGCAGATAACAATTTTCTAAGGAAATAAAGATTTAACTTCAATCTATTTAATTCATTGTTCATTTTTCCATAGTGTTTTTCTTTATAACTGAGGGAATTTAGATTTGAAGACATGCACAAAGATTGCACGTTTAAACGCCAAGTTTGAAACTTCCTGAACAACTTTTGTATTGTTGTGTTGTTGGAATTATATAACCCTCTCCAACCTGGAATTGATTCAAAAGTTGTGACAAAAAGCCCATCATAAAATATTTGAAGATCTCTCACTGTTGCTGTATATTGCTTCAATGGGAGATGATGTAATCTTTATTCATCGATCTATCTGGCTCTATAAAATCACATTATCCATGTAAACTTCATATTGTGCAAGAAGCCCCAGAAAACCTTAAAACTTGCAAGCAAGAAGTCAAAGGATGGATTAGCCTGGTAAATCATCGATAGATTACAAACAGGAAATGACAACCTCACACGATAGCAGATACAAACGGAATTGAACCTTCAAAGAATCAATTGTATGATCTTTCCCTTGAGAATTATCCTAACTCTGGCAATTGTTCGTCGTGCATTGTTGAAAGTTGTGGTGATTTTGACCTTGGTTCATCGCCTGTCTCTGCACGTGCATAGGAGGATGTTGTTGATGTTGATAAGCTGAATAACGACCACCATGTCCTTGAGTATACCTCTCCTCTGGCCTGGAAAAGAAGAATCACTAAAAATTGGGCCAATTGGAGCTGCACCCACTGAGTCTAATGCTCTTAGCTGCCCCAGCTGCCCAGCATTAGAGCAACTCATCCGTTGCTAAGGTACCCCTAGAGCTATTCAATATTTAATCAACTCAGTGAACAATAACTGCCTTTTGCATCTCCACCTCTACACTGAATAGTCCTGATAATAGACAATAAAATATTAGTATTTTATTTATTTATAAAATAATACAAAATAATTTTATTTGTAATTTCGGATAAGATTTTAAATCGTTATCCTTACGTCACGTGTCATTATTCGAAAAGACAATTATTGGTGACGGATTTCGATAAGATTTTTATCCAATGTCGTCGTGCCACGTGTCGTTACCTTTTCAAAATCGTTAAGGATAGATTTCTGATAAGATTTTTAACTAAATTACGTCGCACCACGTGTCACAATCTGTTTATAATCTTTGAAGATAGATTTCGATTAGATTTTTAACGAATGACGGTATGCCATGTGGTATTATCTACAACCTAATCCTTTCTGAATCTTCCATATAATCCATCATCCATCCTCATAAATCTCACACCAATTTTCTTAAGATCCTCTATCATTATTCATAGTTTCTGCTTCCTTCTTCACCAAAATCAAAATTTGTATTATTATTCATAGTTTATGTTTCCTTCTTACAATGTCTTCTTCTTCAAGGATGATGTGGGAAATCGATCAGCAAGAGGAAGAATTGTTTAACCAATTAGAAGGAATGTTTAATCTTCAGGTGGCCCAAAATGAGATGGAAGAGGATGAGGAGTGTAGAAAGAAAGATGACGAAGCAAGAATGGCCAGAGCCTCACAATCCCGTTGAGTCATCCAAGCAATGGCTTAGATCTGCAGGCGCAGCCGTTCTGCAAACCTTGATAGAAGCAGGCAACGACGAGGTACGAATCTATTGGACGATTATTTTGTCCATAATAGTGCATTCCCTGATACGTACTTTAGACGTCATTTTAGAATGGAACGACATTTATTCAACAAAATCATGATTGTTGTTTGCAACCATGATTCTTACTTTGTGCAAAAGAATGATGCTTTTGATGTTATGGGTCTTCTTCTTGAGCAAAAAATTACTACTGCCTGATGGATGCTTGCATATGAAGCATCTGCAGACCAAGTAGATGAGATAGTGAGGGTGGAGAAATCAACCATTCTTGAGTCCCTGATGAGGTTTTACGAAGCAATCGAATCTATCTACACCGCAAAGTACCTCTGGAGATCTACTGAGATGCGAGGTTTTCCTGGGATGATTGGAAGCATTGACTGTATGCACAGGACCTAGAAAAACTATCTAAGTGCTATGGCAAGGCGCTTATGGGGACAGAAAATGAGCAAAAAGTATAATTTTGGAGGCAGTGGCATCTTTTGATACATAGATTTGGCACACCTTTTTTAGGGTTCCGGGAGCTCAAAATGACCTTAATGTCCTTGCCCAATCCCTAGTGTTCAAAGATTGTCCGGCAAGGAAAGGCACCAAAAGTCACGTACTGGGTCAACGAACATAAGTACAACGGGTCATACTACCTAGCAAACAGTATTTACCTAAGGTGGTCATCGTTTGTCAAAATAGTGCCACGTCCACGAAGTGCAAAGGAAAAACACTTTGCAAGCTGTCAAGAAGGGTGCATGAAAGATGTAGAGCATTGTTTTGGTATCCTCCAAGCTCGCTGGGTGATTGTCAGGGGTGCTGCCAGAATGTTTGATTTAGAGTTGCTTCGATCCATCATGCTGACATGCATCATTCTTCACAACATGATTGTGGAAGATGAGTATAATTATGATGCTGTTGATGAATGTGAGCCAGACACGATGAACAATTCCAAAACACAAATATATTGTGTTCATGACGCCACTGAAGAACCCGTGCAACATGAGCCATTAGAAAGGAATGGACGTTACAATGAAAGGCTCATTCAACGATATACTGCACTTCAAAGGCCATATATGCACAATGCCCAGCAAATTGACTTGATTGAGCACCAGTGGGAATTGAAACAAGCTCAAGATACTTAAGTTCATTTAGTGTGTTTGTTTTTATTTGGTGCAGTTTATTTAATTTTATTTGGTGTGTTTTTTTTAGTTCATTTAGTGAGTTTTTTATTATTTGGTGTGTTTATGTCTTTTGAATAAAGATTCTCTTAGTATAAATAAATTTACTCCTACTTTAAATAAAGTACTAAATTCAATAAATTGGAAACAACATAAAGTACTCTATTCAATAAATAATAAATTACAACCCAAAGTGATTGGAAAATTATGGGCTCCGATTACAAACAAAGTGATTGGAAAATTATAGGCTTGTGAATGGATCATCATCACCTAACCAATTTGTGGTGCTAGGATGATCTTCTCTTGTCATGCTAGGACCATCTCTTCTTACTCTTGCTTCTCTTGCACGCCTCCTTCGCACCACGTCCACTTTCTTCGACTTCCAAAAATATTTAGAATTTAGAGACTTCCCTTCTAAAGGCGTGTTCATAATGTCACTGATCTCGTTGAGCTATTCTTTCTTCTCTAACATGTTCCCTTTCTTGCCTAAGTAGCTCTCTTTCTCTCTCATTGGCTTGAAATTCTCTTTCAACAGCTGCAGCTTTTGCCTCCTCTCTAGCCTTATTAGCCTCAAATTTAGCCATTTCCTGTACCAAAGTCAATTCACCTTGGCGAGGAAGTTCTTCCATATACTTTGCATAATAATTCTTGGAAGCACTCCCTTTTCTCTTTGAAGCCTTCTTACCTTGAGACCTAATTGGATAACGGGTCAACCCTGACGTTTGTTCAAGGGGGGTGTTTCGGGCACTTCTTCTACGTCATCTTCATGAACACGTGAGGCATGATCAGGCGTAGAGTGTAGAGGGGTGCTGTTCATGAAAACTTTTGGACCGACAAGCACAACTCTGAATTTAGGACCATCTTTGACAATATTCCAACATTCCCACCGCATGAATGATTGCTTTTGGTTTTTGGATTTGGCATTATACCAAGTTTGTGCTTGAAGTGTCTACACAATGCGGGAGAAGAAATAATTAGAATCAAAGTAGCTAATGTAAATTTGGGTATAGTACAAACAAATAAATAATATATTGTTACTTGATCCGCTAAATTTTCCCCACTTCGAAGATTACTATTAGCTTGTGCCAAGGCGTCTCTCCACATACTAAACGATTGGCTGAGTATTCTCCAACGACTGGACATTGATTCTTTGGTTCTTTTCCCACCAATTTTCTCAATATAATTGGCATGAATAAGACTCCACATTTCTCACAACTACATCTCATTACCCGTAATCGAATCATGAGTGACTTCAACCCAGCTAGTACACAACGTAATTCAATAATTGTCCAATTTGTACCTGTATCATTAGTCATTTTGTTGGAAAAAAAAAATTGGATTAAAACTTCAAGAGAAAGATAGGAATGTGGTTGAAACTAGTTGACAAAATATGAAATTGTGATGTAAGGTAGAAGATAATGAGAAGATATTTATAGAAAAGTAAAATCATTTTTTTTTTAATTTTTCAAATATTTTTTTTCTGATTTTTATTAATTTTTTACATTTTTTAAAATTTTTTATTCACATAATTAATCTCTGGCGTTGGATTAAAAAAATTTGAATTCCAACACTCCAGATTGTGCCACGTGGCACAACTGGTAAGATTTCAGAATTTAAATTTTTTTTTTTTTAAATTTATAAAGGCGAAGAGCGTGGACCATTGATCAGATCGAACGGCTAAAAATAAATAAGG